ACACACACACACACACACGCACACACACACACACACCGGGATCGTCGCAATATGCGTTTTCGCATTTGCACATTATGCAAAAACGCATAGAAACTTATCGGTGGCTGATGAAATTTGTTATCAGAATCCGGATAACGATCTTCCAGGCGATAAATTTATACCTGAAGTGGACAATGGACGCTGGGCACCGCTAAATTCGCCACCATCTGTACATTTCACTATCATTTTCAATGCTTTCGTCCTGATGACTTTAATGAATGAAATTAATTCAAGAAAAGTTCATGGAGAACGAAATGTTTTCAAGGTTTATTTTAAATTTTTTGGAAAATTCCAGCACATGCGCCTCAAATCAGCAAACTGTGTATGTCACGAGATCAGTGCATTTACATATTTTTACGGCACACTGTACGGGCGAAGTGTAGTCGTACCAGAACATTGGAAATTTGTTTTTACTTTGTGATGATAATTTTTGACCCTTTTATCACATAGGGCTCTTGAAATCTATTCGTGACTTATTTCGTTTTGGAGTTATAGTTGCAGCTGCAGAATGAAACAGTCATGAATGCTTTTTTACATAGACGTGGAATCAGCTCAGTGTAGGATCCTTGTAAAAAGGAACACAGGAATGACAGAAGAGATGTATGCATAATTTCTTTCAAGGAAATGAAATCTTTGCGAGGAAGTTAAGAAGGAAAGTACGAAAAGGAGTGCCGGGGCTACAAGAGGCTTTTGCCAGAGTTGCCAATTGGCTTCCATCAAGTGATGTGGCTTTCGGCCGCAGTTGCTCAATTGCGCGAGGTGCAGTGTGGTGAAGCAGTAGCTGGCTAAAGTGTCAAAGTGAGTATAGAGTCAAAACTGACCGGAAAGCTCAGTTCTCAAAACTTTCATTAACATGGCAATAAATGCGTTTGTTTTTACAGGGGCTTTTCACGAATCCAATATTCTGTGTTATATGGATACTGACACTGGTATCGCAAGTGTTGATTGTGCAGTTTGGTGGTGCATGGGTATCAACTGCTCCGCTTAATGAAGTCCACTGGGGCGTTTGTTTGGCGTGTGCACTCGGCACTCTCATTTGGGGTCAGGTACGTTTTTTCTTTAAATTATTATGCGTTTTTTGCAACTATGCAATGCGGAAAACGCATACTGGCGAGAGTATGTCTGTGTGTGCACAGGGCCTCTGTACCGATTTTTCATCTCGAGACCTACGAAAGCTACAGGGCTGAAACTTTGGGAACTTAATCTCCATGCACGTACGGGCCCCATCCCCAGAATGGGCGGTCTTGCCCGCGTGGTACCCACGTAAGAGTCCACCAAAGCTTTTTGCGGGTAAGCTACTAGCTCGGGAACCAGAAATGCTTGGGGCTGAAACTTTGAGGGGATGTT